GTCAGCAGGCCAAGAGCTATGGACTGTCAGAGACGGAAAGGACCCCAGGGAGTATCTGGGGTTCTCAGTGGAAGCATTTTAGGTGGAATGGTTCTTTACAGGGGAGGATGGTCCATAGCTTTGCAGGGCATTTACCATCTTGGCTCCCAGGCCCTAATGGGAGCATTATCACTGTTGATAAGCAAAACCTTCCCCTCCCACTGCACTTCTAACCCTTTTCCCCCAGGGGGCGCCCTGGCTCCTGTTGAGAACCTCTGTGAACACCCCTCAGTGAAGAGCTAAGCGGGGACTGAGGCCCAGAGTTGTAGAGGAGTTGATTCAAGTTCGCAAAAGGCCTTTTACACCTAGATCTAACCTCCATCTCCCTGACTCTGTAACAACTTCAGGAAACAACCTGGCTGTTCCGTGTGGATGCTTCTCTAAACACTCGTAGAGGAGCAGAGAGTACGAGAAAGGACTCATGGGTGGAGGGGTGGAGGGGTCCCTGTTTCTCTCTTGAAACTCTGTCTCAGCTGACACTAAGGTAGTCACTGCTAGTTGCCCTCCTCCCACTCAGCTGACTCTGTCAACCCAGTGACACTGATCCTCCTTCCTAGAAGGATTATTCAGACATGTGCAAAAATGGAGAGGAATGCAGGGCTGGAAGTAGCTCCAGCTGCAGGGAGGTGGTGGCTGAGGATATAAAGTCACTAAAATTATCCACGCACAGACAGGGGCTGGGGCCCCACAGCTGATGGGCCTCTTGCCTGTTATGGTAATTTTCCACCCTTTGGGCCACTCCCTGGCTTCACTGTGGCACCCAACACGTTTAGAAATGACTTGATGGCCGTAGGTGATGCTGAAATAGTAACACAGTGAGAATCACCAAACCCTTGCTAATCCTGACCATGCTACAGTAGGATGCCCAGAGTTGGATGGAGTTATGGGGTCATAATCAAATTTGTCACTTTCTCGTTTCCTAGCCAAAAGCAAGATTACCTGGAGAAAAGCCTGCTTGGTGAAGGCCGAGAAGCTGCTTTTCTCCATACACACCTCTAGGAACCAGGCTGTCCTGGATTCTAGTCTGTTGCAATGGCGGAGGCTGGGAGCCGGAGAGGGATGGAGGGGCTTGGTGCTCAGTTCTTCCCGTGGTCCCCACCTCTCACAGCCTTCATTTTACTCTCATCTCCTGCATCTCTCTTCCCTCTCTTCCAACACATGGTGGCCCCTGTCATCCCTCACCCAGCCCCGCAACCCACAAGTCAGGGTTTAGGAGGAACCGGGGAGAGACTCTTCCCTCCTTGTAACTCCTCCATCCACTGTGAAACTTCAGCCAAGATATTTGCCCTCTAGATTCCTCTCCTGACCTCCAAACACTAGGAGAAAAGAAGCGGCAGGGGCTTCCACCACCAAGAATAACCGTGGTCTTACTGGATTTGCTCACATCAAATTGTCCATAGGAACCCACAAGCCACCTGGGTTCCCTTGATGGGCAAACAACCAAGGCCACCTGACCCTAACTGGGAAAAAAAAAATCCCCATATTCTGACCTTGGGAGGAGTTTATGAAGGAAGACTCCTGGGAACCAGTGCTCTGCCCAGAAGAAGGGGCTGCGGAGAAGGGTCATGAGTCCAAGGGATTCAGAGGCTGCTTGCAGCCACTCTTCACCTTTTTGGGAAAGTTTACATTTTCACTGAACCATGAGCCGCCACCTGTGTGCTCCTGGGGCCTGCTCGGCTACAGCTGGGACCAGTTCAGGGCATGAAGGAGGCTGGTGGAATTGAATCTCAAGTCCCTGCACGTCTTCCTTGCTGACCCCTTCCCAGGCCCACTCCCACGCCTCAGGAGGGTGGGCCCTGACACCAGAGGGTGGCTTTGCACTCACATCCGCAGTGTAACAGCCGTCCTCTGCAGGCACCGGTGTGCTTGCGTGCCTCGGCTGCACGACAAAGTAGCTGCAGATCAGAGCAGGGGCATGGCCTGGGGGAGGACTGAGAACAAGATTTCTCGATCTGGCCCACAGGAGAAAGACCAGTTGGGTTCCTCCCAGAGTGACTTCAGTGGGGCCCAACCATGGGGCCAGGCCCCGGTCACACCCTCTAACCTCACCCCAGCAACCTCATTATCCAGAGGACCAGGCAGGGCTGAGCCCCTGAACCACACTCAATGGCCTCATCCGCCCCTCTCAGCAGACGTAGGACCTTCATCTTGACGTTCTGGGTTTTTTTTTTTTTAAGTGAAGCCCCAAATCAGTTCTCCCACATTGATTGATCAAACGGTGGCTCTCCAGGTGTGGTCCCTGGACCGGAGCATCAGTATCACCACGGAATTTGTGAGAAGGGCACCTTCTCAGGCCCCACCCAGATCTGCTGAATCAGGAAGGCTGGGGGCAGGGCCCGGAAACCTGTTTGAACAAGCCTTCCGGGTGGTTCTAGGTTTGCTCAAGCTTGAGAACCGGGTTATAGGATCCTTCTGTCTCTCCTCAGATGGGCCCTGTGTGCAGCCCTTTTTTCACCCTGTACTGATAACCCACCTCCTCACTCCCACCAGATGAGTCGGCCTCCTGCCCCAGCAGGATCAAAGCCGTCCAACGACGTACAGTGGTCAACTTCTACTTCCTCATCCCCCTTAAACCCTCCCTCTTCCCCACTGTTTTCTGCGGGCACAGGCGTATGCCTCCGCACTCCTGACCCTTTCTCTCGCCCTCTGTTTCTTCCACATCTACTACGCTGGGTCTTCTTCCTCTGGCCCCCTCAGGACCTTGACATCACTTCTTTTTTTCTCTTTTCTCTCCCTTCTTTCCTTGCAAATGTATCCAGCTGTTGTTTCAGCTGTCAATTCTGAGGGGATGGCTCTAAAAGCATGATCTCTCTTTCCCAACATCCTCCAACTCCAGATCTGCGTTTTCAGCAACTTCTACAACAAACACCCCGCTCCCTGGGTGCCTAAGAAGTACCTCAAAGTCCACAGGCCAAACTCAAATTCACCTTCTTACCCCACTCAAACCACCACCAATACCACCACCATCACCAGCAGCTTGTCATCCTGACTTTTGTCTCTACAATCAGTTTCTAAGATCTTCTTGGCTTTACCATCCCTGGGCGATCACAGTAACTTTTTCTGGTTAAAAACTTAGAGTATTTTGGACCGCAAAGTTCCTGTGGATCCAAGTAAAATGACTCGTACAGGAATCGCCTTAAAAACCAACGGCTGCCATTCTGTGCATAAATCCGTCAGGTAGAATGCCTAGGGTTTCATGTACCCTGAACGCCAGGGTCTCAAGGGGAGAGAAAGACTTTACGCACTGCTCAACGTTTGCTGAAGAGTGGGAGCCCCTCAGGAAAGGACTCAGGCCTCCACGGGCAGAAAGGATAATCTATCAGATTAAAGGGCCCCCTTCCCTGCTTCAGGAGCCACCAGATTCCCATTTCTGGGTCACTCACTCTATACCAAATGACCCTCTCGGAAGGGCTTACATGTCCATAGTCCTGTGAGACAACTGCTACTTTGTTCAGGGACAGCAACGGATGGATGTTAGCATCAGAGAGGAGGAGACACAGGGTTAGAGTCAGGGTCAGAGGCCATGTATGAAAGGCTTGAAGCCATCATGCTCCCTGAAAGGACACACCTATGTTGAAACCACCCTGACTGACCTTCAGCTACAGGAGGAGCACCTGACCCTCCTGCTTTGTCATTCCTCCCCTTTCAAACCCTGGGTTGCAGTCATTTTGCCCAAGGCCTTCCTGGCTGTCGATGCTGAAGCCTGGGATTGGCAGTGGGAGGTGGAGGGGAGATGAACAGGAAACCTTCCTCAGAACTGACAATACGTGGTCCTGTCCTATTCTTCCAAAAACAGAACCGATGCTCCCCTCCCCCGCCACCTTCCCAGAGTCAAGAGACCTGGGTTCTAGCCCCAGTGCCATCACTGGCCAGCTACACGACACAGCAAAACATGACAAACCTTTTTTGTGCTCTGGTTGCTTCATCTAAAAAGGAAAACCGTGAAACTCTCCCTTCTCCCTCTACAGAACCGATGTGACAGTAACATGCTTGCGTACAGCAGTTCACCATTAACAAATCGCTCTCATTACGTCTTCTAACTTGATCCTTACAGTACCTTGTGATATAGGCAAGAAAAGCATTTTTATCCTCTTTGACGGATGAGGAAACTCAGGCTCCCGAAGGATTTGCCCAGGCTGCAAGGTTAATAGGCAGCAGAGCCGGGGCCCAAGCTTGACCTCTGTGCCCTGTACCACTCGGTCCCCTGCACGGTGAGAACCCATGTGACAGACACAGCATGCTGCTGCTATTAATCAAAGTAGTCGTTTTTCCCAGTGTAATTATGACCCACATATTTGCCAGTGGATTATCACTGCTTACTTTGGGTAGCCTCAGCATCTCCAATCCATCACTTCTTAAGTGGGTCATTTTGAACTAAGATGCAGGTGTGGAATCACTAGCTTCAGGACTAAAACAGGGGAGGATACAGTCACCCAGGGAAGAGGCTGAGCCTAGTGGTATTTCTGATGCCACCATCCATGGAGGGCGATCGCGCCTTCTGCTGGGCACAGAAGGCTAAGGTTTTAGGCCAGTTCATCACTTCTAACAATCTCATTTCTGGGATGAGAGGACTTGAGCCCGGAAAGGCTGCGTGACATGCCTAAGGCCCCATAGCTCCTTCAGCAGCTGAGCTGGCTCCAGACAGAGGTTTCCTAACTCTAAGGCCAATGCTCCTTCCATGCTGCCGGGAGTTCGCACTGTTTCTCCATCTCACACCAGCTGGGGCTTATCCCTCCAACTGTGTCTCCACCTGACAGTCAGGAGGGTAAGAGCACTGCGGGTGATGTGCATGGTGGATCCTTTTCCATAAGAGATGTCCACCGAACGAGGGGCAGATCTCTTGGAGATCACCATTTGGTTCAAATGCCGAGCCCAGGACACAACTTCATCCCCAAGGGCCAGGACAACCTCCCAAACGTGTGTGTTAGGCCTTAATTTGGGGAAGAGGAAATACTACTCACGACTTGTCTCGCCTGCCGAGCCGTCTTGGGGGGCTCGCCTGCCTCCGTCGGGGGGACAGTGATTTTCCCCGGCTTCTCGCTTGGGTTGGAGAGTGGGCACTTGCAGGTTTCAGGAGCTGGAGGAGATACGAGGAGTTACCACACTGCTTCCTAACAGCCCCAGCCTCGCGCCTTCCTACAGCCCAGCATCTCAACCCCTGCCCATTCATGATCCCGGGGTTTAGAAAGCCCTGAGCTGGAGGCCTCCTCCTGACACACAGATGTGCTTCTCTCATGCTGCACTGACAAGAAGCAGAGGTACCACTTCCCAGAGCATGACAGGATTACACTTGTGCCCCTTTCCCCACGGCAGAGAGAGGAGCAGAGCCCAATGTCTCAGCCTCCTGGGGCTGTTTGGTTGCTCAGAAAATTCCCCTCTCGCGAAGGCAAAGTCCCATCCATGTTGCCCCAGAAGCCAGCTTGTTCCTTTTCTGACCCTCCCACCCCGCACGCATGCGCAGAGAGGGTCCAGCTGATCCAGGATCTCCGTTACAGGTGCTGCCAAGTGAAGTCCCCAGGTGCTAACCACAACCAAGCCTGAATTCGGCATAATCCCTTGCCCCTGCGGGTCTCAGCATACACACAGGCTTTCTCTCTCAGTGATTCCACGAGCTCTGGAGGAGCAGGGACAAACAGGCATCCTGTCACCTTGGAAGTGACATGGTAGAAGGAAGAAGGGCTTATGAGTGTAGTTTATATAAAGCCAGCAGAGCGCATGTTCCTTTGTTTGCTTTTGTGACTCCAGGTCAGAATTTTATGCCAAAGGGCTTTGCAACTTACAAAGCAAAGCAGAGATAAAACACGACTCTGAAATAGATTATACAGCAAGGTGACCCACTCATCCTGGCTTGCCTGAGACTTTCTTGGCTTTAAGTACTGAAAATCTCATTTCCTCAGAAACCCCTCAGTTTCAGGGAAACTGAGATGACTGGCCACTCTTACTATAAAGACAAAACAGAATAAGACAAAACTAGAGCCTTAGTATAAAATGGCTAACATTTTAGATTGACTCGTAGAAGGAACTGCAGGCCAAGACTCTGCTTCAGCAACAACACCTAAATTGAGCTTAGCTCTAGTTTTTAAAGTAGTAAATGCAAAGAGACTTAAATTGTCCATGTCAAAAATTGAATGATATTTTTTTAACAGGGTGCCTACTAAGCAAGATAACCTCAAGAAACTTTTGACCATCTCAGAAACACAGGGCACATGGCAATAGAGAGAGAGGGAGGGAGGGAGAGAGAGGGAGAGAACGAGGAAAGAACTCTCTTACATTGCTCATTTGCCTCCCCTGCACCTACCTTCATTCTCATGTCCCTGGCATATTTCTCCAGCTCCTTCCTTATGTCAGCCCTCAACATCTTTGAGACATTGAGGACCAGCTGCTTCCACTCGATGGGCTGGAAGCTATGAGGCTCATGGGGGACATACAACCCAATCTTGACCTTCTTGACTGTGTGAAGATATTTCTTGTAGGAGTCTTCAAAGTCAAAGATGAGGTCACTCAGAGTCCGAAAGGTCAATGGCTTGTCCATCAGCTCAGCCCTCCGGCTCATGCCCAGTGAGCCATAGCGGCCATTGCAGTAAATCCCCAGCACAACATGGTGAAAGTAGTTTCCTGAGAAGTAGGTTTTAAAGCTGATGGGGAATCGCTCGATGGAAGGCTGTCCATTGGTTAAGTATCTTAGAGAATCTGAGTCAAGGAAGAGAAACGAGGCTTGAAGACACCAGAACTTGGACTCCCAGGAAAGGAAGGTAGCCCATACGGTCAGTGGGTCCACCCCTCTGCCTCTGAGCAGGCCCAGGCCTGACCTTTCCAGACCGATCCTCTTATAAAGGATTCACTGGATATCTTTGAGTACCCGCTACATGGTGCATACCAAACCAAATTAATATGGGACAAAAAGGGAAGACTTGTCATCTTCTTTAGTAAATAAATAAATGCAAACAAAACCATTAACAACGTACTTTATCCTCCCTTGGTGCTCTACAGGGGATGATAAGCTATTAAAAGTTGGTTTCTGCCATTGGAATGATGTTCTCAGTCGTTAATTCTGGCTGGAGTATGTGGGACAGACCAGGAATTGAAGGCCTCTGCAATGGTGCTGGGAGAAATGACAACCAGAGCCCAGGCAAGGCAGTGGAGATGTAAGACACAGACCAACTGACAGGATGGGAAGGGACAGAATGGTGTCAGAATGGGTCATATCTGCGCCTTGTCTGCTCCTCTCATTGGCCCCAGCATACCCATGCCGGTAGCCTTGGGTACCACAGAGAGCTGCCTGCAGCATCCGAACCTCAGGCTCCCTTCAGTCCCCAACCCAGCTGGTGTCACAGCTCAGCTCTCTCCACGTGTTGGCCCGTCTGGATTAAGCCACCCAGCCTCTTACCATTAACTCAGTTTGGGCCCAGCAACCCCACATGGTGCAGTTTCAAGTAACTACCCCCACTGGCTCCACACGCTGCAACGACGGACAGGAGGCACCACATCCTCAAGTCCACCTCAAAGTTTCTGGACAGCCCTGGCGTGGTCGTGGAGACTCAAAGACCCAACTCCTCTGGAGAGGGACACTGGAAGTTCAAATACACCCTGCTAAAGACCGTTGGTGTCTCCAGACCTTTTCTAAGGGAAATAACAATCCAGGCTCTTAACATGGTGGCTTGTGCATGGCGAGTGCTCAGTAAGTGGGTACCATTCTCCACTCTCTGAGAACTTGTCTTCACCATTTCTTGCCCCTGCTCCAATTTACCTTCCACACAGTGGCCAGAATGATCTATTGAAGCTAAAATTTGGTACATGTCACTCTTCTGCCTAAGTTTTCAGTGTCTCTCACCTTCTCCAGGACTTGGTCCAAATCCCTCAGCAAAGTCCTGCCATGATTCAGCCCCTGCTCATCATCCCTTTGTACCGTCTCATCTCCCCCACACTCTGGGCTCACACACTGACCTACTGTTGACCATGACTTTTTTTTTTTCTTTGCCTGCAGTGCAGCTTGCAGGATCTTAGTTCCCCACCCAGGAATTGAACCCACACCCTCAGCAGTGAAAGCACAGAGTCCTAACCACTAGACCTCCAGGGAACTCCCGACCTGTGACATTTTTGAAGGATACACCCTGAGACCATGAAGAACCCAAAGATCTGTGCCCACTGCCCTCAGCACATACTCCCCCAGAATATGAAGTCAAATATAACTGAATATTTTAAATGACCTTTACATTACAAGGCCATGAGACCAAAGTGACCTATGAAACTTTCAAAAACAAGCTACTAAACCCACTGTATATGACCTCATGTCTCCATCGTAGTATAACTTCTTTTATGGCTTCACTCACACATCAGTCTTATATTGTGGGGGATTTAAACCTGGCAGAGATCTTTGGGGTCTCCTAAGAATCATGAGCAATAAGGATGCTATTGGGGGTTTCCCTGGTGGTGCAGTGGTTAAGAATCCGCCTGCCAATGCAGCGGACACGGGTTCAATCCCTGGTCCCGGAAGATCCCACATGCCGCAGAGCAACTAAACCCGTGCGTCACAACTACTGAGCCTGTGTGTCACAACTACTGAAGCCCGCGCGCCTAAAGCCCGTGCTCCGCAACAAGAGAAGCCACCACAATGAGAAGCCCGCGCACCACAACGAAGAGTAGCCCCTGCTCACCGCAACTAGAGAAAGCCCGCGCACAGCAACGAAGACCCAACACAGCCAAAAATAATTAAATAAATTTATTTTTTAAAAAAGGATGTTATTGGGCTTACTCTCTTTACACAGGCTGCACTCTGACTGGAACAGCCTCACTTCCTGGGTGTGATACCTTCCCTGACCTTCCTCAGTGTGGGTTAAGTCTCCCACACCCCCTGCAAGAACTCCCACAGCACTTGGTGCTTATTCATCCCGCTTCGTGTGTGTGTGTATGCGCGCGCACGTGTGTGCGTTTGTATCTTGTAATGGCAGGAATTGTGCTTTGCATCCTGGTATCTCCAGGCACCGCACAGGCCTGGCACACAGAAGTACCTGGTTAGTGCTTGCTGAAAGGATGAATCTTAGATTGTGAGGATACATTTCCTTACGTTTAAAAAGACTGTACTCGACAGAGAAAGACAAACACTGTATGATACCACTTACATGTAGAATCTAAAAAAATACAACAAACTAGTGAATATAACAAAAAGGAAGCAGACTCACAGATACAGAGAAGAAACTAGTGGTTATGAGTGGGGCGGAGGGGCAACATAGGGATGGGGGAGTGGGAGGTACAAACTGTTGGGTGTAAGACAGGCTCAAGGATGTATTGTACAACATGGGGAATATAGCCAATATTTTGTAATAACTGTAAATGGAAAGTAACCTTTAAGAATCATATTAAAATTTCTTTTAAAATAATTTTTTTTAAAAAAGGTCTGCACTGGGTGTGGGGCTAATCCAGTACCCTTAAAAGAAAGAAGCCTTGTCCTCTACCCTCAATTAAATCACAGATGGCTCCTCTCTATAAAAATGGTTACCTGCTTTCGCTTCACTTTATCATGTGAGATAAACTGGCAGTAAGGGAGTGAAATCACATCCTTCTAAGTCCTCTTACATAAATTCTTACTTGCTTTCTGGGGCGAGTTCTCTGGGGCTGGAACAAGGGCATTCCTCAGTTAAGTCAGTGTAATAAACACTGGGTGAGTGTTTCCTGTGCCAGACAGACTGCTAGGTAGGGCTGCAGAGCCAAAGATGAAGACTCCCCGGAAGTCTGATAGGGAGACAGACTCAAAGTGCACACAATACCATCAGTATGGCAGTTTCTCAAGCAAACTAAACACAGAATTACCATATGACCCAGCAATTGTACTTCAGGTACTTCAGGTATATATACCCAAGAGAACTGAAAGCAAAGACTCAAACAGATACTTGCACACCAATGTTCACAGCAGCATTATTCACAATTGCCAAAAGGTGGAAATAACCAAAGGGTCCATCAAGGGATGAATGGATAAGCAATGTGTGGTATATACAGACAATGGAATATTATTGTCATAAAAAAGGAAGGAAATTCTGCAATATGCTACAACATGAATGAACCGTGAGGATATTACACTAAGTGAAATGAGCCAGTCACAAAAGGACAAATACTGTTATGATTCAACTTTATGAGGTCCCTGGAGTGGTCGAATTCATAGAAACAGAAAGTAGAATGGTGGTTGCCAGGGACTGGGGACCCTGTGTTTAATGGGTTTAGCATTTCAGTTGGGAAAGAGGAAGTTTAGAGATGAATGGTGGTGATGGTTGCACAACTGCGTGAATGTCCTCAATGCCACTCAATCGTACACTTAAAAATAGTTAAAATGGTAAATTCGTGTTATGAATATTTTACAATTCTTAGAAACCCCGCATTCGCAATATATGTGTCAAGTCATTATGCTGTACACCTTAAACTTACACGGTGCCCTAAATCAATTTTATCTCAAACTGAAAAAAACCCATCCCAACGTGACGTGTGTTGTGAGAGAGGCATCCCTGCCACCTCAGGAAGAGCAGAGAAGAGCCCTCGGGACCAGAATGAGTCCCACAGGACAGGTAGAGTCAGCCAAGGGGAGAAGAGTGGGGAGGGGACTGCAGGGACCACCAGTCCATCCTGTGACAAGTCACCGATCACTTGGATTTGCTCCATCACTACAGCAATCAGTAAAGCCTTGGGACCTGGAGCCTCTGTGAACGGAGAGGGAGGGGACTAAGAGGTATGGATGAGGGCTGGGAAGTAGCCTGAGCTTTTCTAGGGAAAAGGGAGCAGCAGTGCCCCAAGCTTGGGGAAGATCTGCCCAGTACCCAGCCTGCTGGGGCTATGCCTCCCCTGCCTCTAATTACACACCTGTTGTTGAATAAACCATAGCACTTCAGCACCATGATTAAGCCCCACCAGGGCCAGTGAGGCCCCCTAAAGAGCTGCCATGATTCAGAAAATAATTTGGAACCAAAAGTCTCTCTCTCCAGCATGATCAAAAAAGCAAGATCAAAAGAAGTGGCCCTTTGCGAATGAATCCTGAACTCGGAGCTCACGTCAAACAAGAGAAAACAAGGACAAGCCCATGGACACAGCTTCCAAGCAGCAGCCAAGCCAACCTGTTTCAGAGTTGTCAACACACCGCTTGTCCCCTAGGACCTGTGGAAGGGCCCATGGGAGGCCGACCGATGACCCAAGTCCATCCTTCACTGTGCCTGGGAGCAAAGCAGGCCACAGGGCTGCTGACACAGAGCAAAGACAAAGAGGCCATAACTTTGAGAATTCAGCTGTGTTTCTTGTCTGTGCAAGAGTCACATTTCCCTGAGTTCAGCTGTATTTCTCCACCCTCCCTCCACTTTTCTGAAATGACACACCGGTTAGAACAAAGGAGAACCCAGGGCACACTACCCTCTGATTCGGACAGGCCCAAAGGCTGGCCACAGGTCCATCCCCCCAACCGCAAAGGTTTTATTGGTAACTCCGGTAACCTAAGCTAATTTCGGCTTGGACTGATATAATTGCTCGGGGACAAGACAACTGTGTACGGGACTGCCGTGTGAAGCAAGATGACCTCCATCCAGGGGCCCTGCGACCTCTGTCAGCACAGGGTCTGAAGGCAGCTGGTGCCCGTGGTGATGGGCTCCCTCACCCATCACCAGCAAATCCCCGACAATTGTTCACCCCATTAAACTTGCAGGAGGCTCTGCCCAACAGCTGTGCTGACTCCTGCCTCCAAAGGGTGGGGCCCGGAGCCATCTGCTGCCCCCCCCCCGCCCCCATCCTGCCCTCCTGCTGGGCTCCCAGATGCGGTCCATCTCCTTGGTGGGGAACAGGGAGGAGGTATGACTGGAGGGCTGGGCAAAGGCCTCCACAAAGCTCAAGTTTCCATTTTTCAGACGTCAGCCTGGGCACCTGCGGACAGTCCTGTTTCAGATCCAGCCAGCCAGCGCTCTGCAGACTATAGAGGCGGAAATTCCCCTCCCCACGAAGATGTCCAGGGGGCCGGGAGAACAGACCAGACCCAGCCTACTGTCCCCAGTCCGATTCTGAGTCACCAGTCCTCCCACTGACTTCTGTATCTGCTCTCTCTCCTGGTTTTCCTTCTACCTCTCTGGCCTCCAAGTCCTGTAAATTCTATCTCCTCGGGATCTCTTGAAACGGTCCCCTCAAATCGATTCCCATTGCCAAAACCATGGTTCAAGCATCACCATTGCCCTCATGTAGCAGCTCCTAACTGGCCTTGCAGATGCAGCCCCCCCTTCTCCGGCTGCCCTTCAATTGGCCCCAAGAACTACCTCTCTAAAGTGCACACCTCATCATGTCCTGTCTCTGCTCCAGAGATTTCGGCTGGGCTGCCCATTGCCTTTGGAAAAAGTTACCCTTCTCAGAATGGCATTCAAGGACCTACCTGTCCTAACCTGGGATCACCTCTCGAGCTCATGTCTTACTGTGTTCCCTTGGCCGGTTCACCCCAGCCGTCCGCCCCAGGACTGGGAGTTTCTTTGCTTTTCTACCAGATCATAGTCTACTGCCACCACCACTAATAAGTCAGTGCCATCACAGTTATTCTGGACCATATTCCCCCTCAGGCTGAGGATCCAGGAGCCTGGTGCAAAACAGAGCAGAAAGTGTGGAGAGACCAGACCCTTGTTTCAGCTTTACATCCTGTAGGGTCAGGACATTACGCCATTGGTCTCCTCCACAATCCACTCATAGAACTTTCCCTGGAGATGGCTTTGGATAATCCCATTCTCCCTGGAGGGTCTTTCCTGTTGCAATGCCAGATTAATGCAAAAAATAAAGATACACACTCTCTCACTAGTCCCTTGAAGCTGTAATTCTCCTCGTGACTAACGCGTCTGGCCTGGGAGCTGGCCGTGATGCAGGCTTCAGCTCACAAGTTACACTGATGATGGTCCAAGCTCTGATTTGGTTCAACTCCAGATGGTGAAAGTTCGAGAGAAGCACCAGGAGGGCTTGACACTTTCCTCCAAGGAGACAACAGGCATCATCTCTGTGGATCTAGGATGTTGAAGGCACAAGCAAAAAAAAAAAAAAAAAAAAAAAAAAATGGCACAAGCAGCCCCACAGTGAAGCCATCATCTATGGAGTAAATTTAAGCTTACATCACTTAAAGGATACATGCCCAGGATGACAGCTTCAAGGCATTTGATAGGCAAGGACTCCCGAGTCATTTCTTTCGCTGTTTCCATTAACCTGTAGGGTAGAGCACAGCAAAGGATCTCAGACTTATTTAATTATGCAGTCGGTCTGTGTGCCAATCCACCAGGCATGCCCATCGCCACACTAGGCAGCGTGCAGGAGTACAGAGAGAAAGGGCAGAACTTGCCTCGGAGGAGACTCGCAAAGCACATCTGCACCTGGTGGAACTAAATTCCTAAATTCTCCACTCCTCTCTGCAAGACGTAGTTCCAGGAGATTAGTCCTTTTACTCCACAGCACCCTCCCACTAACCCAGGACACGGGTGTCACCACGGAGCAAGTGAAAAAAGCCACATAAAACAAATTTCACAGGTCTGCCCCACCCCTGAGTTAGTCTCCACCACTGAGCTTAGCTCAGCCCCACCTCCAACCCGGCCCGGGGCACCCCTACCCCTTACAGACCAGAATATTTGAGCACCGGGATGGAGGAGAGAGAGTGGGAGAGAAAGATGACAGCTCTCAGATAGGAGCATGGTCACCTGGCCCACAGATCATGCACCACTTACCCACTCAGCGGTCTCATTTTCCTAATTTCAAAGAACTGGGTCCCTGTATGATTGTATCTGTGTGAAGTATGTAAAGGGAAAGTGACAGAAAACTCCAAAGGTCCCAGTAATCCAGCAGAGGGATTTCTCAAAGGGATGAGGAAGTGGGGGCTTTCCAGAAGGTGGCCTGTAGCCAGAAGATCGCCAACAGTATCTTCCTCCTCTCTGTCCTGCCCTAGAAATCTACTTTCTAACTTAGGCCCCAAAGCACCCTGGATCTATACAATAGCTATTTTCAATCTGCTCTGTATTTTGTTTAGTTGACTACATGTCTTAATTCACCTACTAGACTACAAGCCCTTTGAGAGTTGGGACCATTTATCATCTTTGTGTCACCCATAAAGCCTGGCACAAGCCCAACATATTCCATTTAGCAAATATTATTAAATAAATGAAGAATAAGTAAATGGATGGGTGGATGGAAGGAAGGAAGGAAGGATGGAATTGATAGAAGAGTGGATGCATGGATCAATGGAAAGCTGGTTGGGTGGCTGGACAGACAGAAAGGTAGGTTGACGGATGGGTGAAAGGAAGGATGGAAGGGTTGCGGATGGAAGGTGGATAGATGGTAGTAGGGTTTCTCAAGAGTGCGGACCCTGCAGCAGAGCCTGCTGTGGAGACAGCACTTTCATTTCATGCCTGGACTGATATCTGACATTGATGACTAGATCTGAGAAGATGACAGCACTAACCACAAACTGGGATTTAGCTGGGTGCCCACAAGGTCTCAGGGACTGGCAAGCCCGCACCAGGAGGGCTTCTGAAGGAGACTGGAGATTCTCACATACCGGGCTCTCTGAGACTGGATCTTGATTTTTTTCTGAGCCTGAAGAAAAGTTGTTTTATACGTTTCTTTTTCCTGCCTCAAACAAAATCCTATAGGAAAAGTGCACATTGGGAAGGTGCTAATGAAGCATGAACCTGTAGCCCAGGCAGGAAGTATGAGGTTAGATGTGTGCCCCTACAGTGGTATGGGCAGCTGCAGAAAAGTGGCAATGATCACCTCAGTGCACTGCACACCCTCCCGACAAGGGTTGGGATTCCTCTCCGGGCAAAGACGTGCTTGGCCGCTAAGACACAAACATATGTAACGATCACCTGGAGAGTTTGTTATAAGCAGATTCTGGGCTCCATCCTTAAGAGATTCTGATTTCAGGCCATGGTCTTAGCCCCTGATGTCAGAGTCGCCCCACCTGGGACTGTCGAACTGGAAGTTCTAGGGTGAGGGCCAGGGGATGATTTTAACAAGCTCACCGTTTAGAAATTACCAGCATGAGCCATAAGAATAACCAATAACAATACAGGCTTGCCCAGATTTTTAAAAATACAATATACAAAACCCTAGAGATAAGAGAGAAAAATGAAGGGCTATGTAGCCTCACTGTGAAATGATTTTTCACTTTACCAAAGATTTCATTCAAATAGTGAGATTCCTTGTATATTTAAAGTAGCATGCAATTGGCAAAAGTTCTATTTATATGCCCAATTTTCCCCCTGTTCCTATATCTAGTTTATACATCTAGTGCATGGAGTGAGACAAACCTCTAATAAAATAATAAAAAACTACCTGACCATTCTTTCTCCATTCCTTACAGTTATGGGCCCCTGAAAGTGAGCTGGGGAGGACAGCCTCCTGTAAACGCTGCCTGAAGAGAGAGACTTCACCCTCTGCTCCCTACACAGCAGGGCTCGGGGGTGGGGACTTCTCTTTCCAGAACCCAGTGCAAGGTCAGCACTCCAGCTGGCCAACGCTGTGAGGCTGTCAGAAGGGAAGGCAGGATTTGTCCTTTCCTGTCCCCAGCTGAGGACATCTGTGGTCAGGGCTGGCCCCAATCGGTCCCCATACCCTAGCACCAGGACAAAGCAGTAGGAAGGCCCAAGGAACTAAATAAAAGGCTGGTCAGGAGGTAGAGCAAAGAGGTTACTCCAATGGCCAGGTGACCTGGAGCCTGATCCCAGTAGCATGGTGGTGCTTTCCCTTCTCCAGCCCTCTCTGCAGTCACTGAACCAGCTCAGTGAACATCACAGTGGGTCAGAAAACGCAGATCCTTCAGGACTGAGAATGGGCTGCAGCCTTTCTGGCAGAATGAGCCAATGATATGTAAAGCACATGCAAATTTGCCCCATCAGTGCATTCCCAGCGGCCAGGCTCGTCCTCTTTAATCTCCAGCCAGATGATCCTTGTGAAGACCATGTCCTAAACAGAAGGGGGGAGCCATGCTAATTTCTGTCACCTTCTGGAACATTCTGTGAGGAGTCGATCACATCCAGGAAGGCTCAGCTTTTGGGGTCCAGGTTGACTCTGGCAGGAGTTTATGCTTCTGGGCCACATGGAACTCCCCACGTGTGGTCCCAGTTCAGCGATCAGCACCGACATCAGCCTTCCGTGGGCTAGAACTGTCCGCCTGACCCCTGGAGGCTGGTGTTATCTTCTCTAATGTCGCTTCAGGATTCTACGAGGAAGATGCCATGCAGGGGAGTTCACAGTCCATGAAGTGGGAACTGAGAGGCTAATCAAGTAATCTGCCCACCCAAACGAGCTGCAGTTCTCATCTGGTAGGACCCTTCCCTTCAGGGAAAACACAGAAGTCCACAAGAAAGCTTCTTGCCTATAGCACAGAGAGGGGAGGCCTCTTCCCAGGCACGTGGGACATGTGTGCAGTGCCCCGTGAAATCCTTTCTGCTAAGCTCTATGCCTTTAGGGAGGAAGGGCAGAGGTCAGCAGACCTCCTGAACAATGTGCTGGGGGCTAGGATGGCGGCAGCTGCCTCGGCAGGGAGTGCGATGCTGGCTTAGCTGAGATGCTCACGGACTCGCTTGGGCAAACGGCCTGTCCCACTCACATACACCTCCCTCTGTTGGCCCAGCTCCCGTCTGACTCCCATCCCTGATAAAGCACCAGCCGTGGCGAGGGGAACATCTGACCCTGCCCCTTGGTTCTTACAACGTAGCTCATATGGGCGCTCAGAACAGATGTACTCCTGACTGCGAACACTGGGGGAGAAAAGGGGCCACAGACTCGCTGGTCTGCACCCAGCCTGGACCCACAGGACTTCTCAGCTCTTCTTCAAACTCACGTGAGGGGAGAGGGCCCCCAGCCCAGGGCCCCATTCATTCATGCAGAATGGACCAAGGGCACCAGCCGCCAAAGGCAACACCAGGTGGGCCTCTTGTAGACGATGAGTGGTCAGGATCAGGGCAAAAAGTGAAAGGAAAGAAAAGGAACAGAAGACTAGGAGGGGGGCTTCCCTGGTGGTCCAGTGGTTGAGAATCCGCCTTCCAGCACAGGGGACTCGGGTTCGAGCCCTGGTCTGGGAACTGAGATCCCACATGCCACGGAGCAACTAAGCCTGCACGCCACAACTACTGAGCCCATGCGCCCTGGAGCCCGTGCACCACAACTAGAGAGGGAGAACCTGCGCGCCAAAACAAAGAGCACACGCTGCAATGAAAGATCCCGCACGCCTCAACGAAGACCCCGTGTGCCGCAACTAAGACCCGACGCAGCCATAAATAAATAAATAAACAGATATACTAAAAAAAAAAGACTAGGAAGGAACAGGGAGAAAGAAAGCTGGTACAGGAAGAGAGATGGAGGGAGCCAAGGATAACCAAGGAGGAGGAGGTGGAGAAAGAGTAGGTGGAAGGAAGAGGGGCGTGTGCTGCCCACCGCCGCTCCGCTGCCCTTTGCCGTCCCGGCCCACACCCTGCTTAAACGGAGAGGGTCTGATCATCGCAGTGACGTCCTCCAGTGTCACTTCTTCTGGACTCTCACATCAAGGCATCCCTCCGTGCCCGGCCTCGCCAACCTCAGACAGCATTTGCTGACCAGGTGGGGACAGAGCCGCCACCAGACTTGCGATCATCACGCCTGTCCCCGGGCTGAGTCTGCTCAGACCCTGGTCAGAAGGATACTGTAGTGTCTTCATGTAGTTCTGGATTGCCTGGAGCCACTCTGGGATCGTCATCGACAGCCTGTAGTTGGGAACCTGGGGTACCGAAGGCTGCAGGGAAGTAGAGAGAGATCATTTTATCAAGGAGATGCAGAGCTACTCCTGAAGGCAGATGGCCACGCTGGCCTGGGCACCCGTTCAACTGGTGCCTCCTGGACAAGGTCTCCCCAGACCGGCCAGTCCTCTCTCTGCGTTCCCTTGGCACATACTCCGCCCTGGGTCGCAGCGGCTCTCTATGACCCTTTATGTGTTGTGGTATGAACACCGCCTGCCTCCCCATTGGAGCCTCAGCCCTTCTTGAAGCCAAGGACCATGTCCTATAGTGTCCCCCCCTCCCCAGGCCTGGTCCGGGAGGGTTCAGAGGTGCTCCATTAATCCTCACACTTCTACTGCACGACTACACTTTGGCTGCATGGCTGGTGTCGCCACTGTATATGTCCACTCCAGGGCACCACTGAATGCAAGATGAATGGCGCCCCGAAGGAATGCAACATGGTGCTACACATGCCATTTCTCTTCAACAGCACCCCCTGCAATGCCCATCACATCCATTGCCTGAGTCCAGCCCCGAGTGCACTAGGAAAGATTCCCTTCTTGCCTTGAATCTTCCCAGGTAAGTGCAGCTCCTCTCACTCATGAGCCATTTTACCCTTTGACCCCACCCGGCTGCCCAGTCTGCCTGGGCATCTCCTAGTCTGCCTCTTGGTCAACATTCACCAGCTGAGAGTATGAAGTTCTAACCCCCACTGGGAAGGGAAGGGAGCAACGGCGGGCCAGGACTGAAAAGGGGGAGGTAAGTCCCTCTTCTCGGGAATTTAGAGCTGAGACACCACCCAGCTCTGAGCAACCCTGCCGACCAGGCCAAGAGCGAGAGGAAGCAGGGGCTTCCAATCCAGTCACTCCTGGGAAGCAAGGGAGCAGTTTCTGCTTTATTTCTTCTCTGTGTTACCCAGTCCCTTAACCTCGGCCTGTCTGATGGGTGGGGGGCAGGGGCGCTGGTGACAGAGATACTCAGCCCACGTGGGTCTGTAGCTCTGGCAGGAAGGAGGACTAAGCCTCTTAGGGAGGGGCAGAAGGGGCCGCAGGACAGATTAGTTCCACCCTCTAAGAAAACAGGGAAAGGGAGGCCCTGGGGATTTAGTACTTAGCTGATGGAAGGTGAAGCCACTGGTGAACAGACTGAGGGACAGCACTGGGCAGCCTGGCTGGGCACCAGCGCCAGACGCTGCCCACGGACGGTCCCCACTTCTGTCCCCAGCTCTGCAAGCTCAGGGCCCACAGACAAGCTGGAGGGCGAGTGGGTCCCCCGGGCCTGAAGCAGGAGGCTCTTCATACTTCTACACCTTCTGCTGCTTTTACTTAAAATAGAAGGGAACTAGTCACACATCCTATTTCACAGCCAAGGTGCAAAGTGTGTGTGTGTGTGTGTGTGTGTGTGTGTGTGTGTGTTCATGACTGCATGTGTGAAAGAGAGAGAATGTGAGACTGTGTGCACACACTCACACAGCTGTTCTGCAAACATTTTGTTTACAACATATCAACTCCAATCACATTCCTGTCTTGGAGAGTCATTTTTGGGAGCAAAATGTTCCCATCTGAACATCTGCTTATGCGGCCATTCCCACAACACCCCCGCCCAGCCCAGCGTCAAAATACAAAGCGCGTCCTGGTGTTTCCGACCTAGCAAACATGAGGGCGCTCGTCCCTGCTTTGGGCAGTAACATCCACTGAGCTACCCACACCTGGAATTCTGCATAAGAATGTGCCAGAGCTTTCACAGAGAAGTAAGGAAGCAGGGGAGACAGAACAACCATTCCTTTCGCACCTCCAGTGTTCCCAGCTCTAGGCCAGGTACAAGAGGGAGGTGGCGAACGACACAGTTTATGAAGGCAGGAGCACACCTCTACCCTGGCATGCATGGGACAACGCCCCAGAGAATCACCAGCCACCTGAAGGATCCCCAGAGGGATATCCCTTGGCCAAAGCCCTGAGGAAGCCGGAGTGACCTGGCTCTGACTCAGCTTTGGGGGCCGACCACCAAGTTATTGCAACTCCCCCAAGCCCAGCGGAACCCACAAGAGCCAGATGATGGGGGGAGTCAGGCGGCAGCCGGTCCTCAGAAAAGCAGCCCAGTGGCGCCCCAGGGCTTTTCAAAACCGCTGCCTGGTTACCTCAGCCCCGGGTTAAGAGTGAATGCAGGAGCTGCAGTCACATTCCCCAAACCCCAGCTGGGGAGCCGGGCTGTGGTGGGAGAAAAGCCGAGGCTGCTGAGGGGATGATGTCATCTGGCTACAGCCCACCCTGCCGTCTGGGACAGCTGGCGGGGGCTCAGGCTGGGGCTCAGGCTGGGGCAGCTCCCAACCAGCACCTCGGGCTGCCAAGGCCCCACAGGATGATGGACTATAAACCAGGCAGGCTCCTTGGGGTATAATTATGAGTCCTTGCTTTGTCACCTACTGCTGTGGACCCTGGGCAAGCTGCATGGCCTCTCTAAGCCTCCAGTTCCTTCCTGATAAAATAGGAGAGGAGATCACCTACTTCAAACCTTCTGAGCTGGTTGTGAGGATTATATGACCTAATGTATAAAGCGGACAACTTGGGGCTTGGCACTCGGTGTTTTTTAAGTGCTAGCTGTGTTATCATTATTCATCAACAGTGTGTTTTCAGAGGTCTAGATGGGGGAGCCTGAATGGCCTCCACTTTTCAGTAACTGGAAAACAGAATCAGCGGGGCCTGAGCCCCCAGACACTCAACTCAGGAGCATCACCAAGATGCCTTCTCAGCCTGATGGAAGAGGATGAAAACATCCACTTCCCCTGTGGACACGTGGTGACCATGAGTTAACATCCTTAATTCATGAAGAGTTCATACAAAGTGATAAGAAAGCTCTCTAGGCCTCAATGAAAAGAAAATGGCCCCAGAAAGTGGAAGCAACCCAAGTGTCCATCAACAGATAAATGGATAAACAAAATGTAGCATATATGCAATGGGATATCATTCAGCCTTAAAAAGGAGGGACATTCTGACACATGCTATACGTGCCAGAACTTTGAAGACCTTATGCTAAGTGAAATAATCCAGTCACAAAAGGACAAATATTGGATGATTTCTCTTATGTGAGATTCCTATAGTAGTCAAGTTCATAGAGACAGAAAGTAGAAGGGTGGTTGCCAGGGGATGAGAGGAGGGAGAAATGGGAACTCAGTGTTTAACGGGTACAAAGTTTTAGTCAGGGAAGAAGAAAAATTTCTGGAGGTGGAAGGTGGTGACGGTTGCACAGCAATGTGAATATATTTAATTCACAGAACTGTACACTTCAAATGGTTAAAATGGTAAATTATACGTTACCACAATTTTTTAAATGGCCATGAAAAGACAATTCACAAAAGAAGAAATGCAAATAGGGAATAAATATTTTTTTAAAATGTTCCAGCACACTAACAGTTTAAGAACTGCAAATTAAAGCCACTGCAAAATGTCATTTTTGTCCTCTCCAATTAGCAGAGATATTCTGAAATGTGGATACTCAGTGCTGGTGAGGATGCTCTCATACGGCATGATGGGAAAATTAATTGGTACAACCTTTTATGAAAAGACCAGGGCACACTCCTTTTTTTTCTCCTCCTCCCTGACTGGGGTCCTGAGAGTCTCTCCTGTTATTTTCCTGCCCCATTTCAGCCGAGACTCCAACCTAGAATTCCCCTGGCCCTGGCCATCTAGATTCCCTCCTGCCACCTGCATCCAGCCATCTCAAACCACAGCCCAGCTGATGATGGCAGAATCTAGGGGGCACACATCAAAACCACCCTCTCCACATAGGCACTGTGCCTACAGTTAGGGGGTGGGGTCCCTGAGGGTAGGGAATAGGGGGGGAAGGAGGGGAGTGGACAGGAATACGGTTGTTCAAGAAGAAAAATGAAACAAACCACAGGCAAGCTTTTGTGGACAAGCTCTCTTTCACTCCATTCTTGCCAAATGCAATGCCCTGTCAGAAGAATGCAAGAAGGGATGTGGAAGGACACGAGTGTGTATCATCACCATGCATCACCATGTGGAAAGAAGGGAGAAGCCAGGAAAGGAGCCAGGGAGGCATTGAGAGCCCCAGGCACCAGGAGTCTTTAACAAGAAAGTACAAGGAGAAAGCGAAGCCTTTTGCCGTCCCTGCTGTGAATATGTATTATATACACTGTGCAGGGGCCAGGCAGAAATTTCTCCGGCAACCTTGGGTGGGGGGCGAGCATGGAACATCACTCTTGGGCCAAGAATGGGCCCCAGGCCCCTGCATCAGGAGCAGCCAGGAATCTGTTGATAGTGACCTGGTCCAGCGGTCACAACCTTGGGCTGAGCAGGAAGGTCAGACATATGGATGGTTTTGAACGCAGGACAGGGGAGAAAGTGCACTGCCTGTGTAAGCCAGCAGGGGGCAGGAGTGGAGCCCTGACCACAGCAAAGTCTGGCCCCAAAGCCCTCTTCTTCACTCACGCAAAGCTGAGTCCTCTAAATGTGAATTATTTCCCAATTTGGGATCAGCGTGAGAATGAGCCACAAAAACGTGGTGTCTGCAAGAAACGGCCTGGTGTTTCCTGCTCAATCCATCTGGCTGTCTGCCCCAGGAGAGTCGGGCTCCAGCCAGTCGAGAAGCAGGAGGTGCTGTTTCCTAGTCGGCCCAGCTGTTTTTTCTGGGCCAGCCATCCTCTCTGCCCCTCCCTTCCCAACCTCTACTATCCTCCAACTGACCCGTGCTGCTTTCTTGCACTATCCCTGAAAAACCCTGGCTTTCACCTAGTCAACTGTTAACTTCAGACTCAGTAACCACCAGGGGAGAAGGCTGCAGTCACAAATTTAGGATTGCAGAGCAGGTGACACCTGTCCCGCTTTCCCCAGTGGGGGCACCTGGATCTTTGGGCAGAAATTACCACGGCTGCTAACAAAATGTCCTGTGGTCAAAGAAAGTGTCATTCAGTCCTCCTCTTAGGCCTTTGACACCTTCCCCTGGCCACGTCTTCTCAGTCCACAATTCAATTGCCAAAAAAGGTTCACCTCCCTGAAACACTCCAACCCTTCCACCACCACTTCACCACCCCCCTTCTGTACAAATTCCTCAGCAAGACACTGATCTGATTAAAGGAGAAAAGGACTTGGCCCCAGAGGAAAAAGTCTGCTGAGCTGAGTGCAGGAATAGCCCTCAAATCAGAGAGGAGTGGCTCCTGGAAACAGGAACTTCCAAAGCTGTCGCCATCCCAGGGCCTGCATAGGGGTCATGGTTTGGGGAATGCCAGGACCAGGGAGAGAGGGGATGCTGTGATGGGCGTTGAGGATGGAGAACCAAGCATTACGATGCAGTGTAAGAGAGAAATGTGAAGCTCTTTATTTAGGTTCAAAAAGCCAATGCCCATGTTCAGCCCGGGGATGCCCTGGCTTGGCAGTTTTCATGTGACCTTCCAGTTACTATGAAAGTACAATATGATATGGCCGCTATATTAAAAAAAAAAAAAAAGAAAGAAAGAAAGCTCATTTTTCAAGAACCCAGAATTCAGCCACAATAACGGACGTATCAAGTACGAGTCTCAGGAAGCAGTAATTTATGTTCTAAGCTGCCCAGACAACATTTAGAACATTGTGTTTCTTACTGTGCTCATGTTTTCGGGGACTGACTGATGACAAACTAACAACTGTCCTAGAAAGAGGAGGAGGAAAATGAGCTGATCTGGGAACTATGACACGTAAGAAAAGGTGAAAGGAACTACCTGCGGACAAAGACGATTAAAGGAAGATGCAGAATAATCCAGTGCACGTGTCACACAGATGACCAGAACCTGAAGACTAATGGGTCACAACAGCACGGGATTTGAGGGTTGGAAAGAACTTCACATGAAATCTGATCTACTCACATTTTATAGGTCAGAAAACTAAGGCCGGAGATTTTAAGTGAGTGACCTAGGCCACAAAGCTAGAGGTAGCACAACCAGAATTCAGTCCCTTGATTTTTTCACTCCAGGTCCTTTCCTGACTCCAAGAGAACCATCTCGTAACATTCGAGGGAGCTGTGAGTAGCACAGGAAGTCGACGTGTGCCGCCCTTTGGTTCTTGAGCACAAGAATCAGTGGTGACATGTGACCGAGGAGGAGCTCTGTTCAGTTTCAGAGAAGAGTTTCCCAGTGACCCAATCTGGCCAGGCCTGGGAGCTGCCCTGTGAGGCGACAAGGCCCCCATTCCCAGGAGGCCTTCAGAAAGAGGAAGGGATTCTGCTGAGAGGTACAGGATTGGTCTCTACCAACCCTGACATTGTCTGATTTTCCCACAGAGAGGGGGTCCCCACCCACAATGTTGGGAGAAAGATGAAGCCACAATTAGAAGTCACAATCAGGTGCTAAGGGTGCTAAATGAGAAAGGCTCACTTAAGTGAGAACAGACTCCGAAGTCAGAACTGCACTCCAGTATCAGGGTTGTTCTCAGGCTCTGAGTCCTCAAGGAGGACTCAGCAAGGGTCATTATAGCTGACATAAAAGCAGGCAAGATTCTCGCTGGGCATAACGAAGATCTCATTGACCAGCAGGGTAATAAAACACCGTAACCAACTACAGCAGGAAGCTTACAGGCTCTGTCACTTTTCCCAAGGGCACACACAGCTTTCTGGCCTGCAGGCTCAGATGCTCAGGTCACCAGATGCTCCAGGTTGGGGGCTCGACCAGATGGCCTTCCAGGTCTCAGGTCTGGCATTCCTAGACCTGTCCAGGAATCCTCTTGGCCATACCAGTGTCCCCAGGATGGATGGAAAACCATCCGCCATGCTACAACCCCCAGGTTCTGTGGCGTTTCTCCTCCAGTTTGCATTTTCGTGCTTCGTACAGCGACCGCTGCACATCTTCCTCCATCTTACTAACATTATCTTTGGCCACCAAACCCAATTGGCTCACTGGCTTCTCTCCAAGGTAGAAAGAGTTTCACTCCTGAGCCTCTTTCTCTATCCAGTGAGATTCATTCATCATGTGTACTGGAAAGTCCCTTTTAAGCCACAGTTAAAACTCTTTTTTGTCAGAGCTCAGATAAGCTGGGAAAAGAGAGAGCTGACTGTTTTGCAAGTTTCAGAGGTGAAAGTCACTGTCATAAAAAAAAAAAAATTGGCAAAAAGTCTAGGAATGATTCACGCTGAGAAGTCTGACTGGTTGATTGTAAATTCATTCATAGCCTAATAAATCATTTGCGAAGGGGGGACAGAGGAGGACCAAGAGACTCCAAAGAGGATAAGCGGGGTGGGATCCCTAGGGGGCCTATGCATGCTTGGCATCACTGGTGCTACTTGGTGGCTACAGTCTTCGTTGAAGCAGGATGTACACGGAGCTAAGTAAATGATAGAGTTTGGCTCCAGATTCAAAGAAACCTTGGCACAAGCCGACCACACAGTCCCAGGACAGCAAGCCCCTTTTCTCTCCCTCCCCCATTTCTAAGACGTCCAAGACAAACATCTCAATTAAGCAAAGGGGGTGGAGGCTGCTGCGAAAAATGAGGAGGGGAAGGGAGTCTGCAGCAGGACCAGGAAAATGGAAATTGCTACGTACAGGCAAAATGGTCCCATCACTGCCCACGCCACCCCCTTCCTTCGGAGCCACTAACCTTTGCTAAGAAGGTGGCGTTCCTGATGGCGCCCACCATTTCTCCCCCCTTGGGGTGCACTTTGGCCACGTGCATCCACATGCGCTCCCAGGTGTGGCTGTCGATGGGGAAGCCGCTCTTGTTAACGTGAAACAGCACCCCGCCGTCTTTGTCCTCCTCCTCAGAGCCCCCGCTAGTAGCGAGGCTCACGGGCCGCGCGTGGCTGCTCCGGGACCGGGTGCCTTTGGCGCCTTTGGGGTGGGGGCAGCGGTGAGTGTCGGCCGCCGAGCCGGTCATGGTGGGGCAGGGGCGGGGAGGGCGGCGAGGGGCGTGTGCGCGCGGGCGCGGCACGGGGATCAGCGCCCCGCGGGGGCGGCCTTCTCCATGCTTCTGGCTGCCGCAGGACGCGCGAAGGGGCAGCGGCGGCTGGAACTCCGCTTACGGGCCGTGCCTGAAATCAGTGAGACCCAGCACATACCACGGGTAAGTAGACACCCGGAGGAACCAAGGAGGGGGCCGTGGCCAAGACGGGGGTGTGGGGGCTTCGACGTGTCCCCACTTCCCTGTCCGCTCCCCCCGCGAGCGGACAGGACGCCCCCCCACCCACCAGGGAATTGCACACGAGCTTCCAGCCCTGCCATTACCTAGAAAGGCGACTTGAATTTTGCCATAAAGCTTCACACCCACCTAAACCGCGTAAGGGAAAGACAAGGAGCGTGGAGGCTGCGAAGTGGACGGGGTAGGGAGAAGAAAGACAGCTCGTGCAGCGGGATGGAACAGGAGGTCCCCGCAAGGCTCCACACGTCCCTTGGTCGCCAGATGTGGCCGAGCGCCGAGCCGAGCCAGAACGTGCCGGCACGTGAGCGCCCGGGGCTGCCGCGAGAGCCCAGCGACAGCCTCGGCTTGCAAAAGCGGCCGCGTTTCTTCCAAGAAGCCCTCCCGAAGCTGGGCGGACGAGGGGCGGCCCCGGCCCCCAGGCTCCAGTGGCAGTGGCTCCACCCGCCCCCTTCCCTGAGTTCCAGCGCCAGGCACCCCGGGGAAATGGCTGCAGGCGGGGCGCGGGAAGGGCGCACCGCAGCTCCCGGACCCTACCTCTGGACGGTCGGCCTCATGGCTGCACGGCTTCTCCGGGCGGCGGGGGTGGCGGGAGCTGCTGGGGCCGCTGCGGCCGTCGCCTCATTCCATGTCCCATCCTCTAATGTTATTCTGTGACATATAAGCGAGTCACCCGGGCAGCCGCCGATGTTCCGACTGCGTCCATTGGCCACCGCAACAAAGAGGGGCGGGTCCCGGGCGCGGGACTCTACAACCCGGAGCTCCGCGACGCTCTGATTGGCTCCCGGGGTTCCCGGGCGGGAGGGGTGAAGAGTAGGGGGAGCTGGGCTGCAGCGCGAAATCCGATCGCTGTCTTGTCCTGCGAGCCCCGCGGGGCTGGAGCGTTTGTCCCTGGGACTTAAGACAGAGTTTCCCCAGGGGTCGCGGCACTACGGGGGAAGCAACTATGGGAAGCAGAGGAGAATTAAAGCCACCCAAGAAGTGACCCTGAGGTAGAGGAGGGCTTGTCATAGGACAGCATTCCCTGAAGAAGGCTGGGCACACAGTCACCTGCCGCTACCAGGCAGTGATGGATGGTCCAGGCAGGCATGTAAACGTGACGGCACAATATTAAATCTTTTTTTTTTTAATCCTACATTACAAATTCCCCAAAACTAAGAAGGGGACCCAGCCATATATCCTCTGACATTAGTCATGATTAATAAAGCTCCTTTAAACCAAGCTGATATGCAACACTAAAGCCGGGGTGGTCAGCCAGGTCCCCACTGTTCTGTCACAGCTACTGAGTTATGAGAGGGTGAAGAGATGCTTCAGAGCCACTGTGAAGTGGAGACCCTCCCACACTCTCCAGGGAAATACCTTTTCCTTAAAGGCATCTTCTTTTTTTTTTTCTTAAAAGAAGAGCAAGGTGAGGAGGAGCACCAGACTACTGACCTGAGGTCTGGCCCTAAGTCCAGGTTTATCACTTGGCAAAGCTGTGTGATCCAGGACAAGCCATTTGCCTGTTCTGGGCCGTAGCTGCTTTATGAAAAGAGGAGAGCAAACCCTTCACTCTCCAAGGCCTGTTCTGGCTCTAAGATTCTGTGATCTTCTGACTTCCTCCTTTACGGACACTTGGGAACCTGGCCATAATATGCTTTCTCTTTAAACTCCAGGCCAGCCTGCCAGCTTTGAGGGGAGTGAAGCAGCTGTGACAGCAATGCTAAGTTAACCTCGAATTAAGAATGCAGTCATCAGGGCTTCCCTGGTGGCGCAGTGGTTGAGAGTCCGCCTGCCGATGCAGGGGACACAGGTTCGTGCCCCGGTCCGGGAAGATCCCACATGCCGCGGAGCGGCTGGGCCCGTGAGCCATGGCCGCTGAGCCTGCGCGTCCGGAGCCTGCGCGTCCGGAGCCTGCGCGTCCGGAGCCTGTGCTCCGCAACGAGAGAGGCCGCAACGGTGAGAGGCCCGCATACCGCAAAAAAAAAAAAAGAATGTGGTCATCAAAGACCACTGATGACAGATCTCTATCTGGATGCTTAACCCTGGAACTTCTCTTTTAGAGGAGGGCGTGGTGAGAGGTGAGTGTTGGAGGGTAGCTGAGAGCCAGGTGTTGGGTGAGGAGACCTGGATTCTGGACCAGTCCTGCACAGCTACAGACACAGCCCATGCCCAGGACTTTATAGATTCCATAAGGAGACTAACTTAGGTCTGGATAGACAGAGGAAATGGCCCTGAGAATAATATTCAGGAAATTATCTGAATAATTCAAGTGGAACAAGCACACTTGAAGAAAACATTAGGGAATTGAAAGAGGATTATCCTCTCAATATATAATTGCCTCAGTTTTCATTTCCTGATTAGGAGAAAACATGCCTCAGAGGGTGAGCTGTTTTCTCATCTCGAACATTCTTCCTCCCTTCTTTTCTCACTCATCTCTCGAATCTGTCCCCTTCTTGCTTCCCCAGGGGTTTCAAGTCCCAGGTGACTAGGATTTCAGGATGCAGAACTCTATACAGAGGATGAGTATATGGCCTAACCACCCCTCAGAAGAAAACTGAGTTCTCAAAGCTCAAGTGATCAGACCAGTTGGTGAACATCGAAGAATGTCTGGCATGTTTCACTGTCCTTGGCATCGATTCCCAGTGTCCTGACTCAGGCCAAATCCAAACAACTACAATGTCCCTGTCAAACCAGGGCCTGGTTCCTGCTTTACCTGAATCAAAATCCTAGGGACCAGAGAGGATTATCGGTTCATCTTCCCGCCCCAGGCACCTCAGGACTCCTTGACAGTTGAGGGCAACGCTTTTGTTTTTCATCTCCAGTATTCCAACTGTCTGTTCTCGTTTCCCTAGGAGCTGGGGTGCAGTGGGGAGGCAAGTGAAATGGTCTATGAAGAGAGTTGTGAAATTTGGCTAATTTTCCAAAGAGGTGGTAAGAAGCCTTGTGAAGTGAGCTGCAGTGTCCCATTGAAAGGACTGGAAAGGAGAAGGGCCCTTTTGTTCAGAATTCTTTTGCATTTGAGAATTGTGCTAATTGTGTGGACCAGCCAACTCTGTTCTTCATTTCTTTGTGTATTTTGTGTTACATGACACTCAAGTGAACACAGGCCAAACAGATTATGGGTTTTGGGGTTTTGTTGTTGTTGTTTTCTGCTTGTTTTTAATTTTTTTAATTGAACTATAGCTGATTTACAATGTTGTATTAGTTTCAGGTGTACAGCAAAGTGATTCAGTTATATATATATACATATTCTTTTATATATACAAATATATATATATGTTCTTTTTCAGATTCTTTTCCCTTATAGATCGTTACAAAATATTGAGTATAGGTCCTTGTTGGCTACCTATTTTATACATAGTGGTGTGTATATGTTAATCCCAAACTCCTAATTTATCCCCCCACCCTTTCCCTTTGGTAACCATAGCTCAGATGGTTAGTGAGAATGACATAGCACACAGTGGGGCAGGGCCTACTTGCAACTTGAACAGGGACACATGATGACTAGCTGCCCAACCTCTGAGAGCATGGTCATGTCCATTCACTGGCATAACAACTGGTATAGCAGAGACATGTAGTGGGAAGGTTTGGAACAAGAAAAAGTGGGTTCAGATGGTATCTAATGATTCAAGTGCCAGTCGCTGGGGTCTCAAAGATAAATAACACAAAATCCTAACCCGGTGATCATATTTCTAGCTCTACCACCTGTTGATGTTAATAGCCTATTCCTCCTGCCTCCGCAGCTCCCTGCACAGCCGACCAAATCTGTGTAGTTCAGCCACCTAGGACTGATAGTCACTGGCCCAGTCAGGTCCCTCTAGGCTGCTACTGCACAGCCAAGCTGGCTGACCACATGTCCGGAGCCTGTGACTCTTCCACTACTTCTGGATCAGAAGAAATGCCACACTGCAGGGTGTGGCTTCTAAGCAGCCATCAAAGGGGAATCCGAGGGAATTAGTTCCCTCTAGGGAACATTCTGACCAATAAGAAACAAGAGATGAGAGGGAGCTGGGCAAATAAACTCTCTTTCCTTCCTGCCCCCTGTGGACTGTTCCGAGTCATGATTTTCTAACACAGCCTGTCTGGAGATGTCCTGCATGGCTGAGCAGACATACCTCCTGAGTAACCTGCCAGGGCTCTTTGCGGTGGGTGGTGAAGCAGTTACCTGCGTGATAACACACCGTCTTGCACTGCTTCTCTTCCTAGCCCACCTCATTCCCCTTTTCGCTCACTCTTACTGCCTTCTCAGTCAGATTTAGTCTTTGCTTCAGATACGTTTTGTAGAGAAACAGAGCTAAGACAGTTGGTTCCACAAGAGGTTCAAAAAGCAAGTCCTCAGGATGGATTTTGGGGTTGTATCTCCTAGGTGTCTGAAATCAATAGAGTCCTTTGCTGGTGATAAGAGAGATGGCAATAGCTTTGATATGCGATCGCACCCAAGCTTTCACTTGGTTAATTGGGGTGAACTGGGTGGAGAGCGAGACATTGGGAGAGCAAGTGGCTGTGGTAGTCAATTTGGAAACAGTGCTAATGACAGGTACCAGAGACCTTGGAAACAGAAAAAGACAGGCTCAGAGCAGTTAACTACCAACTCATGGAATGCTCTGAAAGCCAGAGAGCCGCTATGGCTTTAAGGGAAAGTCTTATTTCCTGAAACTGTGGGAGAGACTTATAAAATCAAGCCCAAGATCTGATCACAGGGTAGCAGAACTGCAAAAAAAAGGACTAAACGCATGGCCTTGATAGGCAACCATGTCAAAGCAGAGCCCTGATAGGGAAAGACTGGAACCCTGAGACCTGGGATGGGCATATCTCGGTGGATGAGCATCTTGACCCTTCAGATCCCCTGAATGTTCCTGCCCAAACCAGGTCCCCTTCTCCATGGCTGCTGCTTCTTCTCGAGACCTGGCCCCACCACTACTGCCTCTGCCAAAACCCAGAGTCAAGCTGCAGCACGGCCCACACTGGCAGGAAAAAGTCCTCTTCCAGGGAGAAAAAGCACACCTGCCAAAGATCTTGCGGGACTTGGCTAACATGTACTGGCAGGAACTGTAGAAATATGTGTGGGAGTGCATCTGGAAGATGTTATATTTGGGGTTCAACAGGAAGCTCAATTGGGAGGATCCACTGACTTGGGGATACTCACACAGAACTCGAGATTTAATGTTTTCGCAAGGATGCTCGGAGTTTGTCCCGATAGTTTGCTGGGATGGCTCTTTGGAGCCTGGTCTCATCGATGGCCTATAGTAAGCAAAGTGGAGAAGCCAGACTTCCTTGTGTAGTGTCGAGGAACGGGTCAGAAGTCTCAGGAAGGAAGGAATATTAGAAGCATTTATTATACGTGGCTCAAGAACCCACCACCTGACTAGTTCCCTGGGCCAGCCCAGAGGACGCTCCCTTCACTAAAGCAATAAAGAGCGTACTAGCAAGGAGGTTTTTTGAGCACCTGGTAGTGGCTATCCTTGTAGTCCAGGGTCGATGGGAAGGAGAAAGCTGCTGTGGAACTGAGCTCCATACTTTCCGTGGAGATGATAAAAATCACAGAATTGCAAAGCACTTAATCATAAAGGACAAGGTGGAATACTTACCACAATGGACAGCAAGGAGGAGGGAAGATCAGGGTGACTATATCTGCAGGGACT